CCACAGTTTTAGTCATTAGGTTTTGCTTCCTTACGTTCCTTCACCAAAACTTTTAGTCCATTATGTTTTGCTTCCTGACTTTCCTTCATCCAAAAGCTTTTGTCCACAGTTTTAGTCATTAGGTTTTGCTTCCTTCATTTCCTTCACCAAAAGACTTTTTGCCCACGGTTTTAGTCATTAGGTTTTGCTTCCTTCAACTCTTTCCCCCACAAGAATTGTCCACAGTTTTAATCATTAGGTTTTGTTTCCTTACTGTCCTTCACCAATAATCTTTGGACCACAGTTTTAGTCATTAGGTTTTGCTTCCTTGCTTTCCTTCACCAACAATTTTTGTCCACAGGTTTAGTCATTAGGCTTTGTTTCCTTACTTTCCTCCACCAAACAACTTTTTGTCCACAGCTTAAGTCATTAGGTCTTGCTGCCTTACTTTCCTTCACCAAAAAGTTTTTGGTCCACGGATTTAATCTTAGTCCTTTGGTTTCGCTTCTTTAAATTCCTTCACAAAAAAATTTGGTCCACAGCTTCAGTCATCAGATTTTGTTTCCTGCAATTCCCTCACCAAAAATTTTGTCCACTGTTTTAGTCCTTTGGTTTTACTTCCTTGATTTCCTTCACTAAACAATTTTGGTCCACAGCTTTAATCATCAAACGCTGTTGTTTCAATTTGTTCACCAATATATTGTCCACAGTTTTAGTCATTAGAGTTTGCTTCCTCAATTCCCACCTTCGCAAAACAAGCAACCAATGCTTGCCAAAAAAGAGCAATGCTTCCAACGCCCATTCCAAAAACAAATGAACCGCAATGAGTTTCAATTAGCAGCGCTTGCCTTTTACGCAAAATTATAACTATGATAGTAGCTGTTGATTGCTCTCAGCTTGGTTTACAAAACTGAATCATAGTGTAAATAGAAAAAATTGCTGAAGCTTGCTGCATGTCATTTCTCTGGTCGGTTTTTGCATTCTTACAACTACTGTTTTTGACCAAAAATCAACACCAATACAAGACAAATATAGATTGGACGAAAAAATATGTATTTTGGGTGCTTGAAAAAATGATGACTAACTTAGCTAACTTTTGAGCTAAACCTAATTAGTTAACTTTTGAGCTAACCACCTGCTAAAAGTTAGCACAGTTAACAAGGTTAGCCTAACTTGTTTTTCTTTTAGCTAACCTTCTTAAAGGCCCTAACAGTTTAACGTATATAGCATACTTTTAACATACATCTAGCATGTCTAACATAGATCTAGTTACTATAGTTGACTCAGATAACCTTTCTCAGTGCTTAGCAGGCACAGGGTTCATCTAAGAACCTCGGACCTCTCCCGCCGCAGGCAGCATCACCAGGAGGGAAACCGGTGGTGCGACAAGGCATCGGTTGGGGAGCGTCGGGAGGCGCCGTGACTCGACCTACTTGGGGAAGGTGATTGTCACGAAATCTGGGTTCGGAGTCCGAGTGCCCGGAAAAACCTGCCGACGCCCACGCGTCGCCCTTAATACCTCCCCGATTGTCAGCGCAGTGTCTTCCTACACCAGGCAGTCTATATGATATACTGTTGGGGTTGGGTAATCTCGTTGGGAAAAACCGGGCCACTCCTGCAGAGCCTTTGCGTCGTACTCGGCCGCTTTGTACACGCGCCCTGCACGGGTCGCAGCGAAGGTCGCCCGCCGCTCTTCGTCTGTGGAGCTGGTGTTGCACAGGTCGTCCAGGTACCTGCACTGGTACCGTGTCTTCGTGTGTTTTTGTCTGTCTGCAACACGTGTCTAGATCGTATCCACACAACAGGACGAGGGGCGCAGCTGCCCCTCTTATTCCGAGAAGCGCCGGCTGAGGGTGTAGACGTCGGCTCAGCCTGCCTGACTCGAGCGACGACCGATGGACGATGAGCGGAGGGAACCTTATTATGGCTCGGTCAAATTCTATAGGGTTTTGTTGCGCTTTGGTTAACTTTTGTCCACAACTCCACGCCCAATCTGCGACACTTCTTCGTTCGACAGCTGCCCTGTGCAAACGGTGAAGACCAAGAAAAGCTTCCAGCACCTCTCTGTGTACGACCCTTCCGTGGCCCCAGACTGCAGTGCACATATTCTACATGGCGGGCGCCCCGTTTCGCCTGCAAGTCCGAGAGTGCTTCCTGCGCGGCCTTCCGCTTGACGCGGATGGCTTCCAGCTCCCGGGAGAGCTCGTTGGCCACCAACGCCATGCAGCTCCGTCCAGGTTCTGCTCCTGGCGGTCGCTGGCGCTGTCGCCGCGCTTCCAGCGGGTCTGTGGCTCGCACCTGCAGGTCGCCAGAGACCCAAAGGCGCGCCACTGCCCAACGCACTCCGACGTCAGAGGGCGTCCAAGACCACTTGCAGCGGTCGCGCCAACACCCACGCACCAGGTCACATGCCTTAGCTGCTGAGTCGGTGGGGCGCGCACCGGTCCCTTGTTGTCGTGGTCAGGTCCGGTCCTCACCGGCCGCCGGGCCGGCGCGCTCTGCCCTTAGGAGACGCGCGGCCCGGCGACGTGCGCGGGCGCACCCTCATTACACCTCATGATGACACCTCAATCCCCTCGTCTGGCCGGTACAAGGGCTTGTCGCCCCACACGTCGGCCACTTCGTCCAATACCTGCTGAGAGGGGACGGTTGTTTCCGCGCCGTTAGACGGCAAGCTCTGCGCTTGCAGGCCTCTGTCACGAGTCTGAAATGCCTAAGAGCAGAACCTTCACAAAATATAAGCAAACTTGTGCCCAAGCAAAGACGTCCAAGAACAAACCAAGGAGTATGTGGCAAGGAGCCACTCTTTCTTTGCAACTGTGTCTCTAAAGCTCTTTTACAAAGTGGGTTGCTCTCCAGGATTTTTTGTTTGCCTCAGGACCTCGACCCCATAATCAACGTAGCAGAACTCATGGCTCCAGTCAAAACACTCAAGATTCAAAACCTTCAAAAAACCGAGTCCGGAAAGTTACGCCGGAGTACGGGAAATTACGCCGGATTTATGGGAAATTACGTTGGAGTTACGGCGCGCCATTTTTTGGCAACTCTCTGCAAAACATTGAGATGAAGAACAACACGCGTTCCACAACCCAAAACTTGTCCGGCTGCAAGCCTGCGCAGCTAGAACTGTTTCCCAGCGCCCCGACATCCTGAAGCAGTGGGACTACATTATCGCCTATGTTCTTTCAGCTTAGGTACACCCACTTGCGTCTTTCAACACGTGCATCGCACTGTTTCGAAATCTATTAGAAGATTATCTAAACGCATCTGATTGAGCCAGTGTGAGCCACTGCTGAAGCCGGTGGAATGAGAAAACAGCGGAACAGGCAAACGAGCACACTTTCAAGCAACATTATTTGTCAGTAGTGGGTTTACCTTCAAAGAAATGCGGATCACAAGGAATGCAAAGCCTTGAGAATCCACATAAAGTGACTTGGAAACACATAAAGTGACTTGGAAAAACTGCCGGACCAAATCCAGAAAAAACGCCGGAGAGTGGCTCACACTGGCTCAATCAGATCCGTTTAGGTGATCTTCCATATAAATGAGATCGATACAGTGCGATGCACGTGTTGATAGACGCAAGTGGGTGCACCTAAGCTAAAAGAACATAGGCCATAATGTATTCCCATTGTTTCAGGATGTCGGGGCGCTGGGAAATAGTTCTAGCTACACAGGTTTGCAGAGCCTGCTGGACAAGTTTTGAGTTGTGGAACGTGTGTTGTTCAGAATCTCAATGTTTTGCAGAGAGTTGCCAAAAAAAGAAAGCACGTCGTAACTCCGGCGTAACGTCCCATAACTCCGGCATAATTTCCGTAAATCTTGCGTAATTTTCCGTACTCCAGCGTAATTTTCCGGACTCAGTCTTTTGAAGGTTTTGAATCTTGAAGGTTTTGACTGGAACCATGAGTTCTGCTACGTTTTTTTGGGGGTCGAGGTCTTGAGGCAAACAAAAAAATCCTGGAGAGCAGCCCACTTTGTAAAAGAGCTTTAGAGACACAGTTGCAGAGAAAGAAGGGTTCCTTGCCACATACTCCTTGGTTTGTTTTTGGACGTCTTTGCTTGGGCACAAGTTTGCTTATATATTAATATTTTGTGAAGGTTCTGCTCTTAGGAATTTCGGAAGATGGGCGAGGGAAACGGGAACTGGAAGGCTCCAGTGATTGGGTTGCGGAATAAGTGTGCTCCAGAAAAACTACTCATGGCGCAAAGGCAGTTTGCTCCATTGTGTATGATCCAACCTTTCATCATCTCTGTTTATTTTCAAAATCTTGGGTCCGGCTGTTCTTCCAGGTTCTCGGCGTGTTTTTTTTTTCGGAATCCGGGGAAACATTTTGCCGGATTGAGGTCCGGCACTTTTTTTTAGCCTAAAAACAAGGATCCAGGTATACTCATATCTTCCTTTACATGTAATTGTTTCTTGTTTCAAATTGGTTGAACACTACGTAGAACATCGTAGAACTACAGCATCCAGCGACTGACATTCAATTACAAGCGACTGAGTTTCACAAAACAACCCCAATTTTACATACGTCGGGGGTCTTAGACAGGTGTTGCTTTCTTCTCGGGGGTCCGGACTGAACTTCTTTCGTTTGGAGATGCTTGGAGGTTTCGTGAGGTTCTGAACGTGAGGATTTCCCGCTTCACCGGAAGCTGGGTCTTGAGGCCGTCGGTGGGTTTGTGTGTGTCTTTGCCCAGGCCTGGAAACTCCTGACTGGACGCCCCTCAGGGGCAGCGGTCCAAATCTCTTCTTTTTCAGTAGTAGAAGCAGGATGCAGCTTCGAAAGCTCTAATCAGGTGTCCAAACTGGTGGAAGCGGTGAATCGGTATCACCAATGGAAAGCGTCCAAGCAGTGGAGGGTCCGGCAACCCGACCTAGATCATGAAAAAGATCGCCATGAAAGGAACGATGGATCCCCAAAAGTCAGAGGATCTTGGTGGTGGATATGTCCTTGATCAGTACAATTTACATCAATTTACAAGAGGGGTTTGGATGGAATCTGACTTTGAGACATGGCCATCTGACTTTTGAGACATATCTCTGATGTGTGAGTTCACTCTGAACGTCACTCCAGTTGACTCGTTTTTCGTTCGCGAGTTCGCCAAGGCACGCTGTTGTATGGAACTTGGTCCAAGAGTAGTCTCAAAGTGCTCATTCTGCCTGACGGTCTGGAGAACACACACACACACACAGCAGTTCCCGAGATGGTTCAGAATTGTCGGAATCCCAATTTCTAAAAGCAAAGAAGCAAACAACAAAGGAGCTAACAAGGACCTGGAGTCCACTGGGTGTTTCTTTTGACCCCCAAATAGATACAAAAAGTATAGATCCCCACTAAGAATGTCTTAGAAAGCGCTTCGATCAATTTTGGGACCACTATGATCCCGAACAAACAAAGATTCGGAATGGATCCGGCACTTAGCTGCGGTCTTGACCAGCCACTGAAACGGTGGGTTTATCTGGACTCCTTCGAGATGATCACTGAAACCCAGCTGGGACGAAGACCCAAGCCACCATTCGAAGACTGAGGCCAATTGCACCCAACAGCCCAACAGTCAAACCCTTCACCTTTTGGACAAATGTTCTGAAGCCACAGGAACTCCTGTAAAATTGCCTCCAAAAAAGGGAACCTCAAAGAACCAGCCATGTCAAATGCCCAATGTCTTCCACCCAAAAAACCGCTCTGAAACGCTGTGGTCTGCACGCGGTCTGCACGGTCGACCGCGCCGTGTCGACCGGGTCCCAGCGGCTTAAACATGCCAAGCTCTGCGTCCACCGTTCGACGCAGGCGCCCAAGACCGCCGTCGCAGCGAGCAGATCCGGCTCCGCGAGGGGTCTCACGAGGTCACCTGGAGAGGGTCCATCGGGTGTAGGGACGGTGGGCGACGGAGGTGGGAGATGGTGGATTAAAGCCAACGGGAGATGGTGTAGTTGAATACATTTCCCAGACACGACGTTGTGGGACTGCATTGCCAATATTGACCACCCAAAACCACCCCTGGCCTGATCGGCAGTCCTATGGCTGTCCCAGACAGGTCGTGTCTGGGTTTCATTTTATATGTGGCGACACGGACGCGAACCTGGCCCAAGGGTACTTCCCTCTCGACCTCCCGCTTCACCCACATGAGAACTGACGATGTACAGCCACAGAACGCAAGCAGCTCGCGCGAGCTGCTTGCGCGGCTCAAATGGGACACAAACGCTGGAGTCCACTGGAGATGTCTGGTCCTCATGGCTGCTGCAAGCCCTTTGGCCCTTGCACTTATAATGGTCCCGAAATAGACTGCGGTTTCCAATCGAATACATTTTTTAGTGGAGATCTACTCAGCCCTTGGCCCTTCCAAACGCTTGGAGCATGGGGAGGAGGTCTTGTCGACCTAGGGTCAGTGCCGAGGTTTGCGCGAGAGGAAGCAACATCAAACGGCGTAACGGTCACCGGAACAGTTGCTTGATTGACATGGTTTGCATCACCTCAGATCAACATAGCTGAGTTCCTCTTCGACTGGCATTTTCACCTATAAGTACATTCAAACAAGCATCAAATATTGTCACACAACCTGGCCCCAAACTTCAATCTTTTGTGAGAATCCTCTTCAATTCTGTTCTGTTCTTGAATCAAACAGCGTTCCTGGCTAATGCCTCTGGCATAGGGCTTTTCTAGGGTTTCGTGGGCCCGTGGAAAGGCTCCAGGCCACTTTGACTCGACCCAATGGGCCAAGCAAGGCTCTCCCTCGCTCAAAAACACCCATCACACCTGCCAGCTGCCACAGTGCCACTTCTTTACCTCAAAACCATGCAGCAGCCACAGTGCCCTCACCCAAAACACGTCCTGAACGAGCGTTCGCAATATGGTTTTGGTTCCACTGGGGCGGACATGGTTTCAAGTTTTCAGGCGCCCGCAGCACAGGTGTTAACTCCGCTGTGGTACACTTCGGTGGAAACTGGCAGTGTAACTGTCGCCGCCTCCAGTAAACAGCTGTGTTTAGTGTTTGTCTAGCCCTCTTTCCGGCAAGACCTAAGAATCATTCGGTATCAGCTGTGCCCGACCCGTTCGACCCGCAGCAAGGAGGTATACACTTGGACCAAAGCACCTGGATGGCATGGCCTCTGGTTTCCAGACCACTTTGCTCTACGAACAGGGGGTGAACTCCTGTTCGTAAGTGGGAGAGTCTAACATCCAATCATTGACTAATAGATTTGGCCAATTTCCTGACAGTGACAACCAACGGAAAACTGACACCAAAAAGTTGCCGAACTCAAACCAACATGGCCTCCATCTTCTGGGAGATCCGCTTTTTTGTTGAGTCTCCGCTGACAAGTGACATGCCGAGACCGCCTGTCCCAGCACAATACTGCTTGGTGGCCTAGGGGCAGGCATGACATTGGCATGCATGACGCTGAGCTTAAAGATCATCTGGATGATTAAATCAAAAGATATCAAAAGGAATAAACGATATGTAATCAACCCAGATCCCTTGATTTCAAGGCTCTTTGAAGTATCTACCATCCTCGGAACAACTGACACCGAAACCGGCAGAACCAAACTCACGCTTAAGCTCCAGAGCGGGCTGTCGACGTATGTCCGGAAGCTGTCGACGTGTTGAGTCCTCGAAACCATTCCTTTCCTTCCAGCTACCTTGTTTGTAGTGGGTAACTGCACATACCAGGGGTCACATGTCGGGGTGGTGTTTGGTCCCATCCAGTGAGTGGAGTAGCTGGGCACCCCTAACCTCCAATAGGCACCCCTTTGTGACTCCTGGTAGATATATTCCACATTGAAGTATATTCAAAGCCACCCGGGATCAATCCCGGTTGATCCCGTGAACGCATAGAAATGCAGACTGTGATATCCATTACCATCAATTGCATATTTACATACATACCAGCAGAACTGGGCGAAGTGAAGAACTTCTGACGTTGCGGTCCGTGCGTGCCGTGTGCAGCCGCAAAAAACGCGTACACGTCAGAAACTGCTGGACCGCTGGACCCTTGAAATCTCTGAACTGCCCCCAAGGTGCAAATCTTGATATTCTGCATATTTGATAAACCGCAAACTCTGTTGCCTCATCCAAGGCGGTGCCAAGCGCACGCTGACAATTGCCTTTGGAACGCCAATTTTTCTGCAAAAGGGCCGTGGTGGGCGGCAAAACTGACTGCTTTGCCCATGGTTTTGCAGTGCTTTGGTGACTGGACTGTTCCGCTCTGGATCCACTGGAGCTCTGTTGAGCTCTCACGGAGCTTTCAAAGCGAGGAAGATACGCCTTTTGGTGTCACTAATAAGACACAATCTGGGCGTCTCTGTTCGATGCTTCAACGGGTGTCCTAACTCGGAACTGTCCTTGGTTTCACCGAGGCGACGGTTTTTGGCATCTCCTGGAGAACTCATATCTGTGGACTGGGGTCTCTAAAAGAAAGAAAGACCACAAGAACGGACCACAGGAACGGAGCAAGGGACGTTTGAGGTTTGGATTCATGGTTTGATCCCGGAAGCCGGGACAGTACCAGGAATGGGGTAGACTGGGTCTAGGCACGGTATAGCTTGACCCACCAAAAATACTTTGTCATCGTTCACTGAAACATAGATCCCATGGCAGTGGTGTCAATGGACCCAACAAGCTGTTGTGTCAAGTCATACCCTACACCGACTTCGTCGTACCTCCTCAGGTACGGTATGACTGGACCCTCCTGGCACCCACCCCAGTCCCTCCTCAAAAGGTACTTGGAGGCCCAGGGATAAACATCACAAGCACAGTCCGAGCCCATCCGTGTGCTGCCCAAGCAGCCAGCGCTTTCGGCAAGATCCCATAGCAGTGCCTACTGAGCTGGACTCAGCCAACGCTTGAGGTCAATGGCTTGGAGTTGCGGCCCCCAGGCAGGGGGGACAAAAAGACAAAGATTTACCGTTTCGGGGCTTCACTGAGAAATCAGGGTTGGGAGATGTTGGGAGATGTTGGGGACATGGGCAGTGAGGCACATGCAGGCGACCAATGACCGATGGGACCCAGATCGATCGGTCAGCGGGCTGTTGATCATGTAAGATGCAAAGGAGACTCCAAACCCAGAAGTGGTCATCATCTACCTCGTTCATCATATTCTACGTGATCGTCACCATTCAACAAATCTATACCTCAAGCGCTTCAATGTTCATCCCGCAAGAGTACTTGTGGCCACGTGCAAATGAGTCTATGGATGTTTGAGTTTATCGTAGCTCCTGTAATACATGGTCATCATCGACCTTCACCAACATCTGGGTGTGTTTAGAAATAGGGACCTTCCAGTTCGACCCCAAACAAGAGGGAAAATAGACGGGTCAACCTGTTGGCTGGGGATCTCTCTACAACCCTTCGGCAACTCCGACGGAGTTCCACGCAAAGAAGCCACAGCAAATCAGATCGATTTCCAAGTCCTTGGGACGGCCACAAAACGGCGAGACGGACGGCGAGCTGAGCGAAATCCGAGCAATTTACATAATCACAAACCACCAAAGACAACGGCAACAACCAACAAAGCTACCAGTGGCCCAAAATCTAGCATAGAAATCATGTCTCTATACACTGGCCAGATGAAAGTTGCGCTTGTTGACGTTGAAACTCATGACAACCCTATCCCCCTAGAATCCTACACCATGAGACAAGGGAAGGTGTGGGCGGTCATTTGTCACCCCGGAAAGCCTTTTATTATAGATTTAAAACGGTGTGATAATTGACCGTCCCATACCTGCCACGAAAATCAGACTTGTTAATTCGATCCGCTGCTGACCTCAGAGTGTTTTGTAAGAAGGCTAACAAGCGTAAACTTTTGTCTGCCTGAAGTATTGACTTTGAAGTCGACGAAATTCTTGGAGATGTCCCCCTTTCGAAAAAACACATGGTCAACCAGCGTGCAAAGCGCAATGCGTATCCACACAGAATCAAACAGTAGTAACCAACAACTACTACCACCAAGCTTTGACCCAAGCAACAAGGTTATTCTGCACGTGACTCAGAACAAATACATACTCTAACTAAGTACGCCCACCGTCCGAGGTTCTAGTCTTGCGACCTCTTGCAGTGATGCAATGGTCATCTCCCACAGCAAGCTCCGGGAGAAAGACTTCAGGGTTCCAGTATGGCCTCAGTGTCAGCGTTTTTGGAAGTTTGGATGTATGTCTGGCTCTGGCTCTGATCCAAAAAGTTCAATCATCTGAGCCCGGCAATGTGAAAAACATCTCTGAGCTTGCTGACGGGTGAGCTCTTGCCCTGCCAACCAGCATGGCTTGGTGGAACACCCCTCAAATTCCCATGCATCTGGCATAGAGAAGGTATCTACATATTCTAGTTGATATCTGAACGAACTTAAAAGACTGCTACACCTGCAGCTGCAGCCTGCAGGAATGCCACATGTTGGGAGCTTGTTCCGTCGCCCAGTCAGTGAGAAGATGTGAGAAGTCCTTAAAGACTTGTCCGCCGAACTCCTCTGCCCGGCCACGGATGAGGTTGGCTTCCAGCTGCCTGCTTCGCATCTCTGCCAGCGCGCCGCGCCAGCTGGTGGGCCTGGGACGTTGGAGACAGGGAGACCTCCCAGGTGTCGGAAAAAGCCCGTTGGAAGGTTCGGAGAAATGTGGGAGTGGTTTAAAATATGTTAAAGGGTGTGTTCTTGATACCAGGAGACCTCCCAAGCAATGGCCCCTTGGAAGAATAAGGGAAATAGGCCAAACTCCATCAAACTCCCGTTGGGCGGATGTCTCCCTATGAATACCCGATTAAGTCGATGAACTGAGACTCTGGAAACTGCTCTGCACTGCTCCCATCAGTCACCCCAAGTTGGTTCACTCCGGTGTTCTGCAGGTTTTTCTGGAACCAACTTTGGGAATCGGAAGAGTCATGAAAAGAAGCATTTCGATGAAGGTTGATGTGTTGCAGAAATCTCCCGTATTGCCAGCTGTCAGCTCTTCCTTCTCATTTTGGTCAGGCCGGGTTCATGATGGATTGATCCAGTCGGACGCTTCGAAAAATAAAGCTGAGCCACGTGTGCTCCGTGGGACACTACAAGGCCGATCATTCTATGATTCGATCCAGAATGACGGATTCTAAGTCGGACTTACTGAAAGAAATGAGGGATACCACAGAATGTAGAACCAGGTATCGTGTTCGCTCCCTCCAGAATCCGCGAGATCTAAACGGTTCCAGCCCAGAAGCCAGCTGCCCTTCCTGAAAGGCTGCTGGTGCCTCACATTCTGACATCTGCATCAAGAAGAACACAGCCATAAAAAAGCCATAGCTTTCCGCATACCAATGGACTACCATACCAGTCTGGAATTCCATTAACACCCCACACTAGGCGTGTATTCCATCTTGATCTTGTTGATGCAGGAATGTTCACTTAAAGGCCCCACAAAAAAGCTACCCAGCAAAAGGGCACCTCTTGAACTGTCCAATGCCCAAACCACACCCCATCGGAACCAGAACCTCAGCTGTTTTGAGTATCAAAGGTTATGTTGGCACGTCTTCCATCAACACCGGTCATTATAGCAATTACCCAAATACCGGGGCCGGGGCCCGTTCGCCCTGCTAGACTGGATCCCGAACGGATGTAGATGGAGAGCTGCGTTCGCTGCTGATACCATCATACCGGTGGAAGATCTGCTTGGGCTGCGGAAGTTTCCACGTTATAAAGATAGCCGTTCACAGGTGGGAACGACATGCCAACTGGCGTCTCAGATCGGTCGAACAAATCCCTTCCCGCCCATGTCGAGCGGAGCTGAACTCTGTGCACTTGGGGAACATCACTCCAGAGCTCCAACAGCTCGAATCTGGAGACCCTCGGCTCGGCTCCTCCCACACTCTGTCACCAGGCGGCGTGCCCTTCACAGCGTGGGCGTTCCCTTCGCGCCATCCCTGCGCTCCCAGAAGCGCCATCCATGGCGGGGCACGAGTGCAGGCGGCCAGGGGCGAACGACGGCTGCGGGACGAGAACAGTTGAGAGATGTGCGTGTGTTATTGATACACAGGGAGACAGACACCCAGGTCTAAAGACTCTCTGGAAATAGATCACGACCCACTGCTTGGGGGGTCTCCCTATTTAAAAATAAATAAATAAATATATATATATATATTAATATATAAACTCTACAGCTATGCATGATTCCAGCTTTCTTCAGAGTTCAAAGACCTGGAGTTGAACAACATTATATTATAGGCATTTGGTGTCAAGCTGGTCCCAACACCATCTCTGAAACCAAGAAGACTTTCCAGATAATGAAGATAGGAAGAACTTGTTCTGGTGTGGAATCTCAATGATTCATAATTGTTTTTTTGTATGTCAACACTACTATCCAAACTAAGAAGCAGCTAGAGCATCGCTGTTCATGTTCATGACAAAAATGGACTAGTGACTAGGGCTTCGATTCACTCTTTTTTGGCCAAGCTCTTCCACAGCAGCATCTGCCATAGCCTGCAGCGCTTCCCCGTAGCTTCGGAGATGCCCACTCAAATCCAATGTGGACAGCAACACATCCTCGGTGATTTGACATTGGGATGTCCCAAAGCCTGGCCACTGCCAGGTCTATACACAAACGTTCAAAACAGAAGTGGTGAGAAGCCTCCCTTGAAGGCCACTTGTCTGAAAAATACCTTGTCACGCCAATTGACACACCATTTGACACAACCTTGTCACCAGGCCACTTGCATGACCATATCCAGTCCATCGTGCTCTCCCAACATCTCCAAGATCTCCAAAGCACCGCGCCACACAACTCCAGCAGACAGCGCGCGGGCCGCCGTGGACCAGCACTTTTGGTCGGGTGCCAAGATTGGCGGAACCAGCGGCATTTGATGTAGCAAATGAAGCACCATCCGCCAGTGGCTGCCGCAGCTGGACATGAGGATGTTGTAGTAAGATGCATCCTGAGCGGGGAAGAATCGAGGGCAGAATGAACCCCCTCCAATCTACAACCAGCGCACACACCCACTGAAAACGCATCCTCAGCCAGTTTCGAGAACAAATGCAAATAACTAAACGACCAAACCATACCAAACATTACCAAACCCTTCTCTTCAGGGTCACCTGTATCTTTTGGAGAATAAATCGAGACAAGTCCGCCAGAATAATCGAGGGTGAAGCCTTGAGTTGGACCATCATCTGAGAGAATTCCTGTCACATCATCTGTGAGAAATGGTTCATCAGGTGACTCAAACCACTTTTGCGAAACAGCAGACCACGTCTGCTGGGTGTCTTCCAATTCATGGGCTGCAAGAAGGTGGACCAGAACAGAGTTTGTTGTATTGAGGTGTGCAAAGTCCAGAACAGACTTTGTACATTGAAAAAACGTACCCGTCTTATGGAAAAAAAACACGAGGAACCCCCCCTCATGTTATAGAGGACATGGTCACGGGCAATATTGATATACAGTAAATTGCATCTGCTCCTGAGGTATGGGCCAACTTTATCCCAACTGGTGCTGAGGTTCATTGAGGTTCAAATGTGTTGTTCAACCTTCAACCCTGTGGTCTCTTCAACGTCCTCCATCACGAAACGATGGATGGCACGTCATTGGCACGGGTGGTCCGACCTACAAGCACCAGTGGTCTTTCAGGCGCACTCGGATTTTGTGAAAGGGTGTTTCATCTCCAAAGAAGGTGCAGGACTCCCGGGTCGTTCTGGATGTGTTTTTTTTGGCGCCGTCTCGATCCGGACTGAAGTCAAATGGCCTATATACCCTAGGCTTCCTGGCCAACCATTGATTTGATAGCCTGAATCCCGAAGCACCCTTGTTTTACTAAGGATTTTAATGGATTTTACACTACACAACCAGGTCAACTAAATGGTCTTGGAAGCCTAGGGCGTATACATATATATATATATGTGTGTATGCCATACATGGAGTGTTCTTGGAGATGATCTGATCTTTGGAATCTTCCAATGAAGTCCATGTGCGCTGTGTAACATCAAGATTGGATGGTACCAGATAGACCCATCTTTGGGCAAGGATCGACGTCTGCTGTTCTCTTCCATGTGGCTAGTGCCATGGTCCATGCTCCCCTCAAGGAGCACAAGGCACTGCAAAGGCTGGTGCGGGTCATGGCATTTGCTTCAACGCCCACGTTCATCATAGCCACCAGTGAGTCGAAGCCCAACTCCCACTGCAATGCCTGCGCACAGGCCTCGGCACAAGAAGGGGTGAGCCACTGCCGAAAGAGCATCGACACGGGGATGGACTTAGTCAAAATGGCGAACTCATGCAGATTGCGTGGTGTTTCATGGGTTGCCCTTTGACCAGCAAAACCATTGATTTTGAACCTGACCTTGCCGTCCCATGCCAGTCAAGACCCCGCCCGCCCTGCTTGACCCATTGCCACCATACCCGTCCACCTCTCATGGAAGCACCGGTCCACCTCTCTTCGCTCCCACAGGCGCCCACGGGCGCCCCCGGGTTCCTTCGTTACGCTCAACAACCAAATCGGCGAGCTGGCGCCCGCAGCGCCTCCATCCGGGCCGAGAAGGTCACCACATCGGGCTGCAATGACGAGGAAGACAAGCCACGAAAAGCATCAAAGGCCCGAGGCCATTCGGAGGAATCTGAGCTCAGACTGATCCTTGGAATCTGAGACAGTATGAGCAAATGAGCTCATGTTCGCCCTGATGTTCCCTTTTTCTGAGGTGAAAACAGTTTTGAAAACAGCGCCTGTTTCGACCGAGATTTTGCCTTTCGCGCGAGCAAAAGCACCTACATACAAGTCATTGGACCCCGAAGTGTGATTGGAGATTGGTCGCTCTTCCACATGTTCAAGGCTCCATCTGAAATTAATATCTTATCCAAAACAACAAAATCAAAGATGTTAGATAACGTGATATTGCACATATGACAATACAAAACGTTCCAGGGGCTACAAATTGGGGCAGCTTAACTGGGTACCCCACAAATACTTCCATCCACCCCAACTTGGAACCTCTGCTTAAACAATTTTCGGTGGTCAAAGCATTGACTCCAATGCGGTCACCTTCAACTTGACTTGTCGACATCTCTTGCAGGATGACCAGTGCTGACTGCCAGCGCTTCTGGGAGGCGACGACCGAGTTGTAGCCTCAAATGTCTAAGAGCCACTCATCAACACACATGCATTTGGAGTCGACTGTAGTCTCCAAATTAAGGCAACGACGCAAAAAAATACTCATGGATGATGGACCATGTCACAACTTTGTTTGGGTTCATTTTGCTGCAACAGTTCTTGTTCGATGCTGTAAAGGCTCTTTTGGACCTGTCACTTGTCACCTGTCACACCCCCTCAATCAACCGAGGGTTCGAGGCCGACTATCGAACATTACAGATTTACGCGGAAGAAGGAGTGGTGTTTTGCAAACAAAACATGTTCCCTTTCCTTTGACTGGCTATAAAAAGGACTTCTGCATATGAAGATTGAAACGAAGATTTAAGGCACACGAATCAAATCGATTCAGATACTTTCACATACCTTGATACCGATGGACAGGGCACATCTGGCACCTCATGGATAGGACCCGGGGGGGGACAGGGGATCATCTGCGCACACAGCCAAGATCATCTGCGCACACAAATCTGGATCATCTGCGCACACAAATCTGGATCATCTTCGCACACAGGGCACATCGGGTGGTGGGGTGGGGTGGGGCTAATGACGTTCACCTCGACTAGCATTCATATCCAATATCCCAGTGTTGAAGTAAGGGTGC